TTTCACCTGGACAGCATAGGAGTGCTGTGATTATTATACTACAGAAAGCTTCACAGACCTCCCAAATATAGACATTCAGGCTGTTTCCTCAGGAGTGGACCCTAATGGCTTCTCTTGATTTTCCCAAAGCTACACTCAAATTGTCATATCCATTAAACTGAACTCTGTAACAAGTGCCACACCTCTGTTCTACAGGCGAGAGTTTGCTATGTGTGTTTAAATGCCTGGCCCAGCATGTTTTCTGTTGCCCTTTGATCTTCTTTCTAGTTCAATCCCAGTTAGCAGTAACATCTCTTGACATGAACAAAAATCCAAAAGGGATGAATATCTGACAAAGCTGGTAAACATCTCTATTTGAAATTTGGTTGTCCTGTAAACTTATACCTAGAAACGTTTTTAGGTCATTTTGTCACTTTTGAAAATTGTGCTCAATATAATCATTTTAAAACAAAACAAAAAATTGTAAAAGCACCATGTTTAAGATGTTTATTTTTCTAGATGGAGTTTTACTCTACTTGGAGTGTGATGGTGCAATCTCAGCTTACTGCAACCTCTGCCTCCTAGGTTCAAGCAATTCTTCTGCCTCAACCTCCCAAGTAGCTGATATTACAGGTGTGTGCCACCATGCCTGGCTAATTTTTGTATTTTTAGTACAGACAGGATCTCACCATGTTGGCCTGGCTGGTTTCAAACTCCCGACCTCAGGTAATCCACCCACCTTGGCCTCCCAAAGTGCTGGGATTACAGAAGATGTTTATTTCTGTGTTAGTTTAATATATATTATTAAAAGCAATTGTAAATACCATAAATACCTAATAATAGAGAAATGGTTAAGTAAATAAAATTACATCCACTTGATGGAATAGTATGCAGCCAATCGAAATGTCTGTTAGGAATACGACAAAGAAACTCAACATTTGTTTATAATATAATGTTAAGTGAATCAAGCAGAATAAATAATTATATGGACACTATGAGTAACACTGGAACTTGATCATGTCTACATATGGACAAGGTCTGCGGTAAATATGAAAAACGGAAACAGCTTTGTTTGGGGGTTTGTTACTGTCATTATAATTCGGTTGCTCAGCAAATACAGAATTTGTAAAGGGAAAAAAATTCAAGAGAAAAATGAGGCAATTTTCAGGGAGGACATGCCTATTTTGAGTACCTTTTCAGTGTTTTTATTTCCAAGGGAAAATATTACATTTGGGAGAATGGATCACGTTTAGAATAGTGAATAAAAAGTCTAAAGAAGAACCCTAGGCTTTGGCCTTTCAAGACAATATTCCAAAATACTACAGCACGAGATTTTCCTGCAGTACACTCCACACCAGTGCATTTAGTGAACAAGAGAAAGGAGCTAGAGTGGTGGGGAGTGAAAGGATGTGTCTGAATCCCCAGGGAGTGTTTTTTAATACGTTTATGTGTTTTATAAGTTCTGGGATACAAGTACAGAGCATGCAGGTTTGTTACATAGGTATACACATGCCATGATGGTTCACTGCACCATCAACCCACCATCTACATTAGGTATTTCTCTTAATGCTATCCCTCCCCTTGCCCCCCAACCCCAGACAGACTCCAATGTGTGATGTTTCTCTCCCTGTGTTCATATGTTCTCATCATTCAACTCCTACTTATGAGTGAGAACATGTGGCATTTGGTTTTCTGTTCCTGTATTAGTTTGAAGAGAATGATGGTTTCCAGGTTCATCCATGTCCCTGCAAAGGACACGAACTCATCCTTTTTTATGGCTGCACAGAGAAAATTTTTGCAATCTATTCATCTGACAAAGGGCTAATATCCAGAATTATAAGGAACTTAAACAAATTTGCAAGAAAAAAACTCATCAAAAAAAAAATCAAAAAGGGACCAGGGAGTTTTTTAATAAATACAGAGGTCCATCCCTCCAGCCACTGGAGATTTCGGAACCTAGGCCCTGAACATGAGAACAGCTCTCCAATAATCCAGTCCCCTCCTGATCCTCTACCACTAGCTGCAGGTCTGTAATCTTCTATCATTGCATTCACTCTATACAAAGGCTAGTCACAGAGGGCACGTCTGAAATGCAAAGCAACGCCCAGTTCTGCATCTGGGAGCATTATCATTTGCCCAAGAGAAGGAAGGATCCAGTGTTCTCTTGGCATTCACTCATTCTTATACATATGACTTAAAGGAGTATGTGGAGAAAACTTTGAGAGAATGATGGATGCCACCTTTCCTTTGCACAAAGGACTTAAGCCTGAGTGGGTGAGAAAAAGTCCAAGCATTTACAGTTAGAGAAATTAGAATCTAACTCTTCTCAGCATGTGGCCTTGAGATTTAGGAAGCACAAATAAGTCATTTATTTTTTAAAGAGAAAATGACATCAGATATTTTGTCTCTTAACTAGTTACCCAGTTTTAATGTTCCTGTCACATTGCATTCTTCCACACCTTTGCATAAGCTGCTCCTTGTTTGTGGATGATTTCATCCCACTTTTCCCAGGAAGCTCCTGTTTTTCCTCAGAAAAGTGAGTATTATTATTGTCATCCTACTTATGACAAAACTGAAGTTAAATGGCTTAAGTTTATACAGTGAGAGAACTGCAGAAGATTCACACACAGGTCTGCTTGACTTAAAATCTCAACTCCATTCTATCATACCATGTTTCACTCAGGCAACAGGCATACACATCTGAGTTCTTCCCTGCTGGGCTGTGAGTCTACATTATGAAACTGATATCTATTGAATGAATGAATATTAAAGCTACTTAGCTGCATTCACATATATTCATAGGCACACTCATACCAGCCTAATTCAAAACCACCCCTATTATTCTCATCATAAAACGAGGTTCATGCTCTGGCAGAAAGAACATTTTTAAGCCTGCCGATCATGATCGTGGATTCTAACACTCACATACAAGCCAGGAATCTGCTGACTTTCTTTCTCTTCTCAGCAAAATGATGAGACCATAGCTTCAAAATATTCAAATATTCTGGAAGGAAAAGTATACGAGTTGCAAACATTTCTTCATTTATCTCATAAAAAATGTATTTCCAAGTGCAGAAACATAGCTGGACACAACCTTTTCTAATGCAAGAACAGACCTGCTGGCAGAAGGAAAAGCATTCATGAAAGTTATGAGGATCCCAGTGGAGAAAAAAGCAAGGAGCCCTTTGCAACAATCCTGATCCAGACTCTCACCTAGACACACCACTGTTAACCCAGCCAGTCCACAGGCATAGCAGACAAGTGGGTAGAGGAAGGGTCCAGGTACTGCCAGTAGTGTTCTGGTAAACATTTGACACTCAGATCTCCTGGGGAGGAGTGGGAAAGGTGTGACCTGATTTAAAGCATTTGTCAATGTTCATGGTGTAAATATTTCCAACACAGCCACTTTCGAGCTACCAATGTAACATTGACTAGTTTGCATAATTCCTGAAAAGTTAACAATAGGATCTTGTGAGTTGATACAAGCCAATTCCTGCACCACAGTGAGTATTGTTGCCCCTTTCATGGCAACGTTTTTAGATTAGGACTATTGGGGAATAAAGAATTCATCAAAATACAATTCAAGGAACTCTCTTTAAATTGTATAAGCCAGGTCAGCATTACAGAACCTTTCTAAACACACAAGTTTCATTGACTGAACTGTCACACAGCTCAAAAGCAAAAAACAAAGAACCTTATTAAAAAATGACCAAAGGATCTGAACAGGCACTTTCTAAAAAGAACACACATGAAAATGGCCAATAGATGTATGAAAAGGTACTCAGCATCACCAATCATCAGAGAAATGAAAGTTGAAACCACAATGAGAAGCCATCTGCTAGGATGACTTCTTATCAAGATGAGAGAAAACAAGTGTTAGCAAGGATGTAGAGAAAAGAGGATCTTTTCACACTGCTGGTGGGAATGTAAATTAGTAAAGTCATTATGGAAAACACTATGGAGGTCACTCAAAAAATTAAAACTCGAACTGGCATATGATCAGCAATCCCTCTGATGGGCACAGACCCAAAGGAAATAAAGTCGGCACCTTGTAGATATCTTCGGTCCTATGTTCATTGCAGCATTATTCACAATAGTTAAGATGTGGAAACAAACTAATCAATAACCTGTGTTTGGATCAGTAAAGAAAATGTGTGTGTATGTGTATATAATCTTCATACATATAATAGAATATTATTTGGCTTATAAAAGGGAAGTACTGCCACTTGCAAAAACACACTTGCAAAAACATTTGAGCCTGGAGTAAAATAGGCTAAATGAAATAAGCCAGGCATGGAACGACTGCATGATCTCACTTACGTGGAATCTTAAAAAAGTTGAATACATAGAAAGAGAGAATACATAGAAACAGAGACTAGAATGACGGTTACCAGGGGCACGGAGGAGGAGAAAATGGGGAGATATGAGTCAAAGAGTCCAAGTTTGCAGTGATGTAGAATGATTAAGTCTACAGATGTAACATATAGCATGCAGATTTTTTTTTTTTTTTTGAGACAGAGTCTCGCTCTTTCGCCACACTGAGTGCAGTGGTGCCATCTCAGCTCACTGTAACCTCTGCTTCCCAGATTCTAGTGATTCTCCTGCCTCATGAGTAGCTGGGATTACAGGCATGTATTTTTAGTAGAGATGGGTTTTCACCATGTTTACCAGGATGGTCTTGATCTCTTGACCTCATGATTCGCCCGCCTCAGCCCCCTAAAGTGCTGGGATTACAGGCATGAGCCAACATACCAGCTGCAGATTTTATTAACCATGCTGTATTATTTACTGAAAATTTGCCAAGAGGGTAGATTTTAGATGCTCTTCCCACACACACCAGAACTTAACTATGTGAGGTGATGATAGGTAGATATGTTAGTCCACTTGACTGTAGTAATCATTTTACCATATGTATATATCAAAACATTACATTGTGTGACTTAAATATATAAAATTATAAATTAATATAATATTATTGGTGCAGTGAAACACATGCTACATATCAATAAAATACAATGTTAATACTTACCTGGTAGGGGAGATACCATGATCATGAAGGTGGTTTTCCCAGGGTGAGGCTTATCCATTGTGCTCCAGATGTGCTGGCCCCTGCGATTTCCTCAAATGTGGGAAACTCGACAGCATAATTTGTGGTAATGGGGGACTGCGTTCACGCTCTCCCCTGGAATGAATGAATGAATGAATAAATGAATGAATAAATAAATAAATAAATGAAATACAATGTTAAAAATATAAATACATATTTATCCACATTTTTCTATCACTCTTTACAACTAAAGGGGATTTTCATGACTTTTTCAATCAGTATTAAACTCTCTAAACTCTCTTTCTTCTCCTGAATATGATGGTTCATAGTGAGGAAAAAAGAAAAAAAACACCCAAAAGAGAAAAAGGGAGGATGATACAACATTTACTCGTTTGTGATACTAGCTAGCAGATGATAACTTGTGGGTGTCACTGTGTGCCCACCACCTCTGAGCTCCCAGGCTGAACGAAGGAGAAAACAGGAAGGCTGAAGCAGGGAGAATCCAGTAAGATTCATTTGCAGGCATTTGAAAAGCATTACCTTCATCCACCCTTTCTTATTTTACAAATTCATTATGTTCTAATACACGGAGAAAAAAATATGGGAGAGGAGTTTCAATCTAAATTAAGTTGTTTTCCTCTTTCCTTTCCTGTAATCAATGGACCATTTCATTTTTTGGCCCAAGTATCCACCTGGATTCTACCTCTCCTTCGTAGCTCTTTACATTTTTCTTCAGGGAATGAGTCTTGGGATAGGTCTCAAAAGTTAATGGGATGGAGTAATGGAATCATTTTAGAGCTCACTATAAAAGGCAAACATGGTCTTACAGACTCAGTAGTGATTTTAGAATTTAAAGATGCAGCCAGATCACACAAATCCTACCAGGTTTCCAATATGATGCTAGGCACTGAGCACCTTACCCAGGAGGCATAGATAAACTACTTGCACACACCTCACTGTTCAAACTACTATCCCTGAAATGAGGATTTGTGCACAAGTGATTTATGAAGGAAGTGCTCCCAGGGTAAACTGGGCAGGATAGGGGGAGGGGGGGCAAGGGAAAGAGGAGGAAAGAAAGGAGGGGTTTTGAGCAAAGTCAGATGGGGTACATTTCATGCCAAGTCCAGCAGCCTGACCCACGGGGAACTCTGGAGGGTAAGTTACCCCAGTAGTTGTCATCATCATCCACACCCTACAAACTCCTGCATCCCCTTAGTCATCGGTTAAAGGTCACCCTGGAGGCTGTAAATTCCAAGGCACTTCTGACTCATCTCATTGTGGGCACAGGGCTTCCATAGGCCAAAGGCATTCCTCTGGGAAGCACCTGCAGGTGCTGACTGTTTAAAGGGAAAGAGCACTGGAGAAAGTGTACGTGGAAAGTGGCAAAGAAGACCTTCACAGAGTGTGAACCCAGACCCCATAGGGATGAATAATAACAGAATGGAGAGGACTTGGAGATCTGGAAATACACGTTCCATGTAAAAGCATTCATAGGCCTTAAATCAAAGCATCTAGATTCAGCACAGGTCACCCCTTTGTGGCTATTCTTGCAGGATGCATTTCCCTGTGTGGGGTTTCTATATTCCCAGGAGAGACGTAGCAGTCACCTTCCTGCATCTTGAATAACCACCCACCCATCTTATTCAGCTCTGGTCCCTGGGATGCCCCCATTTTCACCTCTCCTTCTCTGTCCACATCAAGTGAACAAGTGAAAGGGATCCGCTGACATCACCATTGCCATAGATTCACCCACTCAAGACACACAAAACATCGACGTGTTCAAGAATTGTTGGTACATAGGTGTGTGTTCACACCCAGCATTTTCCCCAAAATTCCATTTTATTTATTACACTTTCCTTGGCTGCCTTAAAAAACTAGATGTCTGGCTGGGCATGGTGGCTCATGTCTATAATTCCCAGCAATTTGGGAGGTCAAGGTGGGAGAATCATGAGGTCAAGAGATTGAGACCGTCCTGGCCAACATGGTGGAACCCCGTCTCTACTAAAAATATAAAACTTAGCTGTGTGTGGTGGGGTGGGGGGCAGGAAGGGGGGTGCCAGTAGTCCCAGCTACTTGGGAGGTTGAGGCAGGAGAACTGCTTGAACGTCGGAGGTGGAGGTTGCAGTGAGCTGAGATCATGCCACTGCACTCCAACCTGACAATAGAGCAAGATTCCTTCTCAAAAAAACAAAAACAAACAAAAAAAAACCTGGATGTCCATGAAGATTAAGGCAACTGTGTTCCAGTTCTGATTGGAGTAACAACAACTCCTATCATATGACCAGAAACACCTGAAAAGTCCTGCTGGTGGGAAGCTGAGAGACACCACCAGCTCATTGCGCAAGCTCCGCAGCCACTTATTTTAGAGCTCACTGACCCAACAGCTCCTCTGGTTGGATCAGAACATCCACAGGGGATACTGTCCATGCATGGAAGAGTCCAAATTTTTCTACAGGACTCAGCAGACACTACAGCCCACAAACCAAATCCACCTGCTGCCAGCATCTGTAAATAAAGGTTTTCAGAAAGCAGTCATGCACATTTGTTTACATATTGGATAAATCTACTTTCACACTACAACAGCAAAGTGGAGACTGAATGACCTGCAAAGCCTAAAATATTTAATATCCGGTTCTTTACAGAAAAGAGTTTGCTAACCCCTGTTATACTGTAAGTCTAGCAGCACTCACAGACAAGTATTTAAGAAGTCTGTAAACTGTGAAACAGTTTCTCAAATTGTGGTTTTCCCAAGCCTTCAGAAGGAGTGAATGCAAACCTATTGGAGAGATGCCAAGTGGAAGGCAGATTCTCAAATCGTAGGCATGACAAAGTGCAAGCTTTGCTGATAGACCCTGGAGAGAAGCAGCTGCCCAGGGGGCTGCAGGAGGTAAAATGTCCTCACGTTACTGGAGAAGTGTATGTAGTCTAAATGTTCTCCTTGATGATAAGACTGTGAGCTTCTGAAGGCCAGAGGCTATGGACAAGGCCTGGCACAGAATGGGTGCTCCAAAAATGGATCCTGAAAAAAAGGAAGGGAAAAGAGATGGAGGGAGGAAAAGAGAGAGAGGAAAGGAGGAAGGCAAAGCTAGAGAAAAAGGAGGATAGAAAACGAAAATAAAATGGCACTGTTTTCAGCTGTCTTGCTACTGTAACAATGTGGCTCACCAGGCTCAGCATGGAGTGGCAGCCATTCCAGGATTCGGGATAACAACGAAACAGCATTCGGAACCATGAAAGCCTGTTTGCCTTGACTTCTCACACTTCTCAGCAAAAGAAGTTTCTCTTCCGTGCAATGCTTCTTAAAATTTCCCTTTTAGTCTCACAGATCCTCAGACCTCACGCACAGCAGCTGCAATCTGGCTCTCTAAGCAATCTCCTCCCCATACCTTTTCCTTTTGCCCTTTTCTCCTGACACCAAGAAATGAACCTCAAACCCTGCCCTGCTTGACAGGAGGCTCCTGAGAGGTCAGAGGATGAGCGGAGATCCACATGTTAAGTCAGAATCCTCTCTAGCGGGCAAGGGAAAAATACAAGCCTCCAAGCACAATGGGGTTAACAATTATGCCCGGTAGTACTGCTTCTACACAAGGAAATTTCCATCAGATGGAAATGGCTATTAGCATAGACACGGGACCGACTTCCAGGGCTCAAACCCGGCTCTGCCACTTCCTGGTGGTATGAACTTGGGCTATTTTACTTAATCTTTTTGTGCTCCAGCGTCTTCATCTGTAAAATGGGAGTGATAATAACAGTATTGATCTTATGGGCTTGTTTTAGGGTTAAATGAGTTTATTTTTGTAAGGCATTTAGATCATATGGAACACAGAACAATCTCTACATAAATGTTTGTTAAATAAAATGTAATCTTGGCAGTCTACTAGATCTTTTCCCTGAGGTCAAGCCTGCTGGAATGGAAAGTTTAAAAAAAGAAAGAAATGACAAAAGAAAACAATAAAGTATTCCAAAGCTACTGTTATCTTCAAATTTAAAAATGTACAAAAGAAAAACATATAATGCTCACATAGTGTAGTAAAACTTAACGGGGTAGAGTAATGATATTATTTTACAACTTACTAAAAAGCAAACATGGTCTTAAAGATTCAGTAATGGTTTTTAAATTGAAAAATGTGCCCACAGCCTGTGAATCCTACTGTATTTTCCCATTCATTGTTGGGCATTAAGTATATGATACCTGCCCCGGGAGGTATATACAGACCAGTTGAGTACACATCTTTACCCAAGTAACTGTTTCCTAGTTGACTTCTCCTGCTACAAAATATCTGGGGATGGGAAAGACCCTAGGGGATGGGCCAGGGAGCTGGAGGATGTCACATTATTAATGAGCAAGCTAAGCTGTTACTCACCAGTATTAACTACAAGTGAGTGCTGAGAAGCTACTGAAAACCCTGAAGCAGCTTCCCAGTGCGTACACATCCCTTCATGATCTGCCAAAAACATGCCCTTCCATCCCATCTTTTACCTCTCTCTGCTGTCCCTTGCTAGCGCTGTCCCTCCTGGACTTGTCCCCAGAATATTGGGGTTCCTTCACTTCTCAGGGCCTTTGCACACATTATCCTCTTAGCCTGCAGCTCCTTTCCTGACAGCAGCTCCCTCTCACCCTGAAGGCTTCAGGCTTCTTTGACTACCCTTGCAGTTGTAGGTACCCTGCCATTCTTGTCCCAGCCCTTGGTTTACTTCCTTCATTTAAGTTACTGCAATTTGTAACTACAAAGCTTTCTTGTTTAACTTTTTAAAAAACGTTTGCTGTTTTCTGTCTTGCTCCCCCAAAATATGTCTCCTAAGAGAGATGGTATCATGTCTGTTTTATTCTCAGTAGTATCCTAAGCCCTTTTTATAGTGTCTGATGGTGATAGGGGCTCAATAAATGCTCAGTGAGTGAGTGAAAGAATAACTCATGAATGATAATTTAAAAGAAGTCACAGCAAACATAGGTCTGAGTACAACTCCCAACTCTAATGCTCAAACCATGACCTTGGGCAACTACTCTGTGTCTTTAATGAATACATGTAAAAAGTGATCAGAATGGAGCTCAGAATCTGACGTACATGCAATAGTTGTTGGTTATTATTATTGCTAGTCATAGTGTTGGTGATTCTAGCATTATGTCTCAATATCCT